CCCCAAAACCCCAAAACCCCAAGAGATTAAAAGAATCGAGAGATGAAGAATTATAAAATCAAAATATAGAAGAAAAATCCAATAATTTCTTGAAAAAATGAATAGATTTTTTAGAGGTTGAATTTCTTAAATTATGATTATCATACCATCTAACTTTTAATATAGAAAATCCCAGGCCTCAAGAGCAAAGACCAATAACCAAGGCAACCAATGCAGAGTGGAACACATTGTAAATACATCCATTAATAAGACAATAACTAACATAAATCTAGATTGGTTGATGATGAAAAGAACATATTCTAAAAGGTTCTACAAGCTTCTCAAAGAAATGCATTGACTATGGGAAAGTCCTCATAGATAAAGATGAAGCAAAAACAGTAGGCTAAGCTACTAAAGATAATTAAACAATAAAAATAAAGTCAAGAAGATATTTAGGGTCCCGCTAAAAATGGTTAGAAAGCAAAAATAGAATCAGAGGATGCCAAAAAGCAAAATGAGAGAGAACTAGATAATATTTCTAGCTCTGATGAGAAAAATGAAATCTAAGAAGTCTATGAATTAAGTAAAAAGATCTCTCATCATAATAATTGCAACCATATAGAAAAGACAGGAAAGCAGAGCTAAAAATCTGAGCTCGAAGTCGAGCAATTGAGGCAAGAAAGAATGCAGAGAATTATCTTGGATGAGGAATCTGATATCTATCAATCAATACTTCCAAATAAAGTAATCAATTATAAGATTTTGTCTTATCCACGTCATTTAGTTTTTCAGACAATATAACTGTTCTGCTGATAGTGTATATGGAGGTAAGTTTACCACAAGGGGCAATCTCTATTACTCTTCCTCTCAGGGTGAGGTTGTACTCTACAACACCTCAGATCCGTATAACTGGATTTTAAAGAAGAGGATACAAGCAAGGGAAATATCTTGGACAGTCACTGATATGGATGTATGCGAAAATGAATAGTATCTTATTTATTCAACTATCAATCCAATCGTCCAACTCGTGGATCTTGAAACTTTAGGTAAAAAGACTGAACGCATTAAATTTGAGGATCATCGAGATGATGGCTGGTATCGTGGTAGTGGAATTATGTCTATAAAGTTTTCTGGTGATAGTAGAGAAATTTTAGCTGGTACGAAAAGTTCTGAAATCATGGTCTACGACTTGATCTCTAATAGAGTTAGCACAAGAGTTTTATAATCTCATGACGATGAGATTAACTCTGTATGCTTTGCTAACAGAATGCATTCAAACATTATCTTTACCGGTAGTGACGATTCTTTGATTAAAATTTGGGATAGAAGGGCACTTGGAAACAACAGAGAAGTAGGTGCATTCGTAGGTCATTGTGAGGGTATCACTCATGTTGCAAGCAAGGGAGATGGAATACATGTAGCATCAAATGGCAAAGATTAGCTTCTTAAAGTTTGGGATCTCAGGAAAATGGTCTCTGCTGAAAGACTCCGATCTGTATAAAAGCCAAGGGGTTATCCAGGATATGATTACAGATCTGACGATTACCCATGGGCCAACAGACAAGTAAAACATGCAGAGGACACTTCCATATTTACATTCAAAAATCATAAAGTAGCAAGAACCCTGATAAGATGCAACTTCTCACCCATGTAAACAACAGGTCAGAGATACGTTTATACCGGCTCTTCAAATGGAAAAGTTCACATTTATGATTTACTAACAGGCGATTAAGCTGTAGTCTGTTAGAATGGCCAGAGTGGTAATTAATCCGTCAGAGATGTTTCTTGGCATCCACATTATCCAATTATAGCTTCAACTTGCTTCAGTGGTAAAGTCAACCTTTGGACTCCATAGAATGCTAAACTTGAGGAAAATAAGAGTAGTCAGCATAATAAGCAAGCAAATCACCAAACCTCGGATGATAGATTCATGGCTAGAGCCAATTTTAGCAATGTAGACACAGATGAGGAAGATGAGATTATAGATGATGTGTTTTAACAGTGAGATTTTTATACTTTATTTTGACAAAATATTATAGGCTTGGAGGTGGTCCTAGGGAAATTAACTTCCAAAGACTTTTGCTGAATCTATTGAGAGGATAACTGGGAAGCAGGCCTTAATAAGAAGAAGTTGACAGTGAGATCTAATCAAATGGCAATAAAGATGAAGAGGACAAAGATGATGCTAAATGAAAAGATAAAAGGTGTAAAATCTACTCAGATTTAGTCTAATAGATCCTCTTAAATGATGTTTGATTGATTAAAATCTTGATTTAATAAGCCAACCATAAAACAAAGATTACTAATCAAAATATAAATAAAGTAATACTAATTTTACTAGTCTTAAAAATATAAATTGATTAGTTCTTCCTGCTTAAATTTATTTAAGAATTTATTATTATGGAGTTTTTAAGGAACTTAGAGGAATCCCATGAAGATTTGATTTAAGTCCTAGTCATTCAACTAAATGGATTACAAACTATTCAAGATGACCCAGATCCAGCAGTGTAGGAGAACCTATATACTTAACTTTTGGAACATGTTAATAATATGAAAAAAATAGCGAATCTTGACAATATTAAAAATCATTTAGTTAATAACGAATTCTTGTTTAAGCGGCTGAATAACTACATTAACAGCTACAATAAATAATGAAGCGATCTGCTCATTGATGAGTCAGGTGAATCATTGAATCTATAAAACGTTAAGAGGTTGCTCATTAAACAGCTTCTATGTAGTGTAATAAGATAAGGAGTCGATAAATTAGATGATTATAAGAAGGACAGGGTATTATAAAAATCAATGTTAGCTTCAATGCATTAATGGGTGGAAAGACTGAACAAAGAATACGTTAAAGTTAGTGATGAGGATTACAATCCCTTCAAAAGTATAATGAAAAGAAATGACCCCAACTCAAAGGATGAGTACAATAAAACAGGAGACATCAAGGGAGATAGACTTGATATTAATTACATTAACTCAGTCTATGATGATAATCTCACATAAAGACTCATTAATTACAACACTAGTACCCATTTGAATGCTATAAATGTTAAGAGTGACCCTGAAATGTATATGACATTTCAAAAAGATGGAAAACCATATAAATCAGGCCCAGGCTATAATATGGCAGAGGGTTCAATAGATGAGGATGCAACAACTTTACCTTAGTCCGAGAGATTACCAACTAAAACTAGTATGGATGTAAAGAGCTCAATACTTAATTTTAATACGAGCATGTCTCCATTGGAAAAGGATCCATCTAAAAGGTTCATTATTCAGCCTTAGTACTATGAAGGCAAAGAGCTAGAGAGATACTTGAGCCAAAAGAATTAAGACTCAGCTTTTAATACCATTCAAACGAACTCAATCAAGAAATTACCTGAACAGTATATTCAGGATGATGACGATGATGATGAAATGGAGGAATCAGACAATGATCTCTAAGCCAACTAGAGAGGAGACTCACTTTAAAATCCAAGTTCTAAGATATTAAACCACAATAATGTTAACACTGGAGGCTAAAATAGCATTAAGTAATATAATCCATTCTCGCAAAGGTAGAATTAGCCAAACTCAATTGAGTCATAAGATCTAAGGCTGCCTCAGATTTAGAGTAACTATTTAAAGGGGACCTAAAGTTCATTTAATTCAACTGATGGGATTGGTTCGAGTTTCAACTATCCTCTGGGGATAGTATACTCAGCTCAGAATAAGTAATCTAATTCCAGATTCTTCAGATAGTTTGTACCAATGAAGGGAGTACCTAAAATAATAGATTTAACAAAGGATAATGTAAATGAATAAATTGATGGCCCAAGCAAAGATTAAAATCAGCATCTAAGCCCTGCAAAATCTAAAAAGAAAATAAACAAAACTTTCATTCAAGGTAGAACTTCTGTTTTTATGGAAGGAAAAAAACTTCCTGATCAGCAGATGTTTAATGAGTTTAAATATAACATGAATTAGTATATTAGCATGGATCCAGAAGATTTAGCTCAAGAGACAAGTTTTCATAAAAAAGAGAAAATACTCACGATGCAAGCACAGTAATCCATCTATTTCTTAAGAGATTATAAACCTTTTGAGGAAGTTCAACTTGATCCGCCCTCTCCCAAAAAAGAAGAAGAAAATTAGGATGCCAACTAAAAAGCAGAGAATAAAAGACTTAGCTTTATTGTAGTAAGAAAAGAAACACCTCCAAGGAATCCATTGGTAATTTCAGCTTTGGAATCTCAGGATGAAATGCTGACTACAAAGATCAAGAATATGCAGCAGACATTATCTGCTCTAGCTAATCATAGTAAATCTCTTGGTAAATCTGCAACGAATTACCCCTTCCTATCTAGAGGTTTGGATGTGGAGCATGAATCTTTAGAGGATATTGAGATACTCAAAAAGCATTTAGCATCAATTGGTATGAATGTACCAGCTAGAATCCTAAAAAATGCTATTTTCTTGCCTAGAGATATTGATGCTGAGAATAGAAAGTACCCTCGAATAATAGACATGCTATTTTCTGAGGAGTAATTGATGCCAAAGAAGAAGGTAAAAAGAGCTAAAACCAAAGATGGTAGATCTTCTTCCTCAAAGCAAAATGACTCACTTCCCTTAATAAAAAACAAAAACAATCCAACAGCTGGTTATAATGCCAAACTATTTTACAATATAAACGCTTGAAATAAGATACATCAAGTCTAATCTTACTAGTTAAAAATGCGGCTAGTTTTAAGTCTTATAAACACATCAATATTTATCAATAAATTGGTTTATGAGACTGGTTTACATTAATTTTTAGATTTAATTATATTTTAACATTTAATTTTAATGCTTATTTCTGGGGTTTTGGGGTTTTGGGGTTTTGGGG